TTCATGGGAAACAAATTATTGAAAATGATACAAGGGCCCAAAAATTGTTGGCCCCTCCAATAAACATTTTCTGGCTACGTGCCTGCATCCGTAGTGGAAGGATGTGTATTTAATTTTTGTGTGATCGAAGAAAGAGACGGGTCGCTTATTTTGCCAGTTTTGTATTTCCCTCCTCGTAAACGGTCGCTCGTAGAACGCATCGTTTGTTTCGGCAACAGCATAAATATTGTCAAGAGTGATGGAGATCAGGAACGGCTGTGTTGTGGGTATCCTTATTAAATTGTCGTCGATAGCGGACTCCACCATCGGGTGGCGTGCACAACATGTACGGCGCTTTGTTGAGTTTTCCAGGAACGTGTAGTATAATGTAATTTTGGTTACTTGGATGTCGTTAATTTACTGTCATTACCCTTCGATTAGTGTAAAGACGTCAACGCGGCGTTGTTTGTATATACTTCAAAATGGGCCTAAAAATGACCTAAATTTGTCTGTGGTCCATATGATGCGTGTCGCGGTTTACAATCGTTTTAAAGAGTGACCGGATTCCCTGCGAAATGTCAGACAATGCCCTCTCTACTTTAGACATGTGCGTTTCTATACGCGTGTTACGAGATGTATCACGTAAAATTTTCGTAACATGCCTACCTCACCATATCATAAGGTTTTCTTACTTTAAATCAATATTAGTTTTGTGAATATTAACGAGCTGATACGTTTCAGTTATCTCGGAACAGTACGTATCGCGAAAGTGATTTTAACGTACAGATGTGGTGGGTCTTTCAACTATCATATACACGTAGAAGGCGATGGAAGACGAAGGTACATACGGTTGGGTTTTTAATTTTATTTTAGTATCTAAAATTAAATAAGTTAAAATTCGATAAATTTGTGAACATTTTCTACAAAATAGCACATTTTTAATTAAAATAGAGACTTACATAAAAAAGTTTTAATCAAATACAGATTAATTGAAATCCATAAATTTTTACACAAAACAAATAATCAAATTTTTGTTTAACATTTTTCGAAATTATTATTTTGAAACATCATTCCAGTTTGTTTGAAAAACAGCCATGAAAACAAAGTTGATATTAGAGTAGTACTATAATTATAAATATATTCTATTATAATATATTTTATATAGTTGACCATTCTCTATTAATATATTTTTATAAAATAAACGTGTTATGTTACAGTTTAAATTATTTTTAATAGTTATTATTAGGTTTAATTAAATAAGATACAAAAGTATTATTAAAATGTTCTTGTAAGCAATTTTAACGTTATAAAATTTTAAGGAAAAATGTATCAATATATCATAGATCACATAATAATATAATTTACACATTTTGTAAAAATTATTTCTGAATAAAAATAAATCATTGTAATTTTTTAATGCCTTAAAAAAAAGATTTGTTTTAAAATTAGATGAATTTGTGAACATTTTCTACAAAATAGCACATTTTTAATTGAAATAAAGATTTACGTAGAACCATCTTAATCAAATACACATAAATTAAAATTCATTAATTTTTATACAAAACAAATAATAAAACATACAGGATGTTCAACATTTTTTCGAAATTCTGAAACAGCATTCAGTTGGTTCAAAAAACAGTAATGAAAACAAAGTTAATATTATATTTTTAAATATTGTAGCCATCATTTTCTATAATTATTTTTATATAAAATAATATATCTTATGTTACATTTTAAATTATTTTTAACGGTAATTATAAGGTCTCATTAAAAAAAATGCGTTATTGTATTTTAAAATGTTATTGTGAGCAACTAATGATATAAACACAGGGATTGGAGAAAAAATTTATCAATATACTACAGGTCACATAATAATATAATTTACATATCCTGTAAAAGTTATTCGTAAAATAAATAAATCGCTGTAATTTTTTAACGCCATAAAAAAAAGATTTGTGTTCTTAGTAAACATATTTTAACTATCATATCTATGATATAAAAATATAATGAACACATTTGATTATATTCATTTTAAATCGACTTTAATTCTTAACTAGTCATAATTAATATTAGTATTTTATTTTAAATGGAATTTTATTCGTTGATTTTAATATCTATTGGGATTTTTTTTATGAATATAGATGAAGGAGTAAATTGCAATTATCGCGATGATTATAAAAATTACATCAAAACAGTGATTGGTCACATTCGTTCAAATATTGGATTGAATGAAATGCTAAATTTAAAATTCAAAGAAGATTCAAATTTTATTATTAGTATAGAGGAAGCTTTCAAACCTGAAATAAACTACCATAATTTCAAAAATAACTATTTTTATACAATAAGTCTACTAAATTTCAAGTATACTGAAATACTAAAACACTTTCTCGATTACATAGATATTATTCTCCAAAAATGTAAACAATTTCATGAAAGAAACTTAAAAGAAAGTTTTATTTCTTGTGTAACATCACTCGTTGAAGAAGTGAAAAATTCCAGAACAATGTTTGAAAATCTCTACAATGCTATGGCGTTTATAAGCTACATAGATGTCAGATTTATGTTTAAAGGAGCAATTATGCCGAATGTTATAATTGACGAAATTAACTTTTTTCTAAAATACGTACTTCAAAAAATATCAGAGAACAGACATTTAGATCTGAACAGTTTGCCAAATATTGAAGACACTGAAATTAATTTTAAGAATTTAAATGAATTTCATACAGTTGCATCAAAAATAGTAAACAATCTCTATCAAAATAGTAATATTATTATCGACACTTCTATAAATACTAATTCAATAACAATTGACATGAATGAAGATGACTCTTATTTAGTCTATTTGACATGTAGTAAACTTAAATCTTTTTATAATGAAAATATAGAACTCTGGTATAAAAATCTTGGCTTTGAACAATTTCTCGATCCCAAAACACCCGAGTAAGAATGTTTAATTACATCTACTTTCTACTCTACTATTACTTTACTAATTTTATTTTAGATATTAAATAACTCAACACATTTGTTTAAAATATAAGAAATTTACATTACATACATCAATTTTATGGTAATTTATAAATATTCCAAGGCCACAATATAAACAAACTTAACTTTTTCTTGGTATATTTGTTGTTTAATTTTATAATTTATATTAATGTATTATTATATAAAATGTTCATAAGCTCCTAGATATCTATGAATAAAATACTATAACAAAATTGTTTTCTGAAATCCTTTGTTTTGCCTCAATATTTTAATACAAATATTCATTTTAATAATTTTTTAAAAATTAAACTGAATGGAAATAATGCAATGTCTTATTAATTCTTTTTTAATTTATTTAATCTGTGTATTTCATAAATAATTATAGAATTTTTTTTTACTATAGACTCATACCTCCAATTGATCCAAATATTAATAAAAATATGGCAATTGAAGCTTTCAATATACTTCGACAGGAATCTGGTTGGAAAACAATGGAACATATAAATATAGTTTATAATGGAAAACTATTTAGCGTAGATTCTATAATGAAAGACCCAATTGATAAAATGAATTTTCAAATAAAAAAAGAACATATAACACAATTAATAAGATGTAGGTACACAGAAATAATTAAAAATTACCATGTCTTATTATCTGCTACATTGTCTCAGTGCAATTCATATGCAAATCGATTCAACTACAATTGTTTGATTAAATTCTTTGACTCAGTTAACAAATCTAAAATGATGTTTGAAGGTCTGCATACAGTTTTAATTACTTTACAGAATTTAACATTGTGGAGTTTTACTTTATGGTCTCATTCAAATTTACAAAATATATTAAAATGGGTTGACAATTTTAATTCTTTATTGAAAAACAATGAATTTTCTCAAGATAAATTTGTCGATCATAATGGTATTAAAAAAACTGAGATTATAGACAAAAAATGTGAAGTTTTAAGAAATTTACGGAAAAAATTATATATTTACTTGAAGAGCGAATTGAGTAACATAAACACCCGTTGTAATATGAAAGAACATTTTTTTGATAAGACCCAACTTGAAAATCATTTTAAGTATTTAGCAAGTACAATGAATACTTCATATAATGAACAGTCAATCGAAATGCATCAAAAAGCATTCAAATTTTTTGATGAGTTCTGTGAATATGTTTATAAATCTTGTTATGAAAATTTAGGATTCAGAAAAGTTGATCGTCTCAACAAAAGCTCCGATGACATATTAATTGTGGATTAGATTGATTATTCACCTACTTGGTTTTCATTACATAGTAAATGGCCAAGTATCAAACAGTTGAATTTAATAATTAAATTTCATAAAATTATTATTAAATTAATTTACTAATCACTAGATTACAAGTCACATTTAATTTTTGTAAATTGTTTAATAACATTATTTTAAAAATGTTTAGTTAGTATTTTTATTATTAAATATGAGTTTTAAAAAAATATTGTTGTAGGTGTATAACGTTAAGAAACATTATTTGTTTTTAATTTTAATAATATAAAAATAAAAAATAATTTTTTTAACGTATACTTTCGAGTGTTAAAAAAAATGTGCTGTTTAAAAATCTTTTTATGTTTTGTGGTTATTTTTATAAAGAGTTATCAAGCGTTTACAGAGTAATGTAGGGTTGCATGGAACAAAATGCATATACGCGCGAATATACTCGATAGCTCCATAAAAAAATATTCTAGAACACTACACTATAAAACGACGCCACATCAGTCAATCAACCAGTTAGTTCGTCACAAGTAGACAGTTAGTACACGTAGTGCATGCATATATTGTAAATATTCTAAAAGTGTTTAAATAATAAATCGTCTATCTTTGTTATCTTCTTTACGTAAATCGTTGTTTTTATTTATTGTTTAATCAATACGTAAAACACCAACTGTTATTAATATAATAATCAGCCGTAATCTCCGCCTTTGACACCATGGCAAGGATATCGCCAACTGTGAATAATTGATTATGCGATCTGTTTCCTTGCTGCAACCAACCCGATTTTTGTGATATATTGTAGTAAATAGTTGAAAATGTATTAAAAAACTTTGATATTAGTATAGTATAAGGTTTTTAACATTGTATTTAGCAATTTTAAATTCAATTACATTCAATAACAATGGTGGGAACAAGAATATATTGAAGGGGAACGAGAAAATAATGATGCATTGACGTTTTTAACAAGGAACGTCTTGTTTTCGGTCAGAACGGTTGGTTGTGTGGCGAAATGTTGAACAAAATGTGTGTTTATGTATAACTCTTCACTCGCCACGTGTTATTATCTCTTGTATCCCGTCGTCTATGGCCTTGAGACTAGACAGTCGTAACCCATTCACCCCACCCCGCTCACCACTCGCCGATAATAATATTTTCCTGTATAATTTTTTGGTTTTCGTACCCGTACAGGCGTATGTGATATAAATTATATATATATATATATATAAACAAATTTTTATTTTGACTGACCAATACCGCCCGCGTGTAATGCGCCTTACGTATAAATATCTATATATTCCTACCGCCGTTTATACCTTAGGTATAACGTTCCCCCCGCCCACAAAACAAGGCTATACCTAGTGCACGATACGTTTACGTACTTAAGTCGCTTTACATGAATATATATATATTCTAATTACTATTAAAAATTATATATTAATACACTTAATTCTCATTAAGAGATATATAGTGTATTCATTCCGATTACGGAAGATGATTCCCATATCGTCATTTTTCGTCACTACCTCCACGTTGCGCACCACTGCTTTCCTTGGATATGGTAGCCGTTTCTCAGACTCCCTCCCCGGAATCGAACCTTGATTTCCCGTTATCCGTTATAACCATGATAATGTTAGTAATTACTATCGTGATTGCTCGTTATGTTAAATATTTAAATTTTTTTTAATTCTATGGCGTCGGCTAAACCAGCTTCCTACTCTTTAGCCCTTCGAGGCTGGTAATGTTTATTTTTTTTGTAGATGTTTTGAGCCAGATTATTATTTCTGTGGACCGTGCCATTAACATAACATATGTGGCAAATTTTTTTTATTACATTTTTCTTTTGTAGGTGTCCCTATTTTCTTTTATTTAAGTCCTTCGACATGGTAGGCGCGTTCTAATACTACCTGTCATGTATTATATATATATATATATATATTATGATTCTTTTATGTAGGTTTGATATTATATCATATGTGGTGATGCGTGTATATAGTATTAAAACAATGTGGTGACGTAGTGCATTTCATTCAATTTTTTTTTGGATTTTGGAAATTTATTGTTTTTTTTTTTAATTTATTTAAGTCCGTTTCATTTAACTTAACCATCATTTTATTTTTTTTGCGTGTACCATATTCAATGGACTCGTGTATTTTGAATTTTTTTCCTTTCAAAAATCAACTCTCCCTAGTTTATAAGGTACGGGCAACGGCCTTATACAGGGTGTTCAATAAGTTCGGAAACACCCATTTTTTAGAGCCGCTATTGAGTTTTTTAATAATTTTTTTTTTTAGAAGCTAATTGAATAATTAAATGCATCTTTTACGATTAAAATTTAAATTCAACCCTAATGCAAAAGGGTAGAAATCTACCCTAACTTAAGAAATTTAAATGGCAACCCCTAATTTTTTTTACTAATTTCAATAGAGAATTCAATTTTAAAAAGAATTATGGTGAAAATAACTTTTTATGTTAAACCATTTTTAAATAATCGTTGTTTTAAGGGTAGAAAAGTGTCCTATGTGAAGACAGATTTTGCTATGATCATTTTTATGAATTTAATTTTATAAAAAAGATATCTATTGCAAATTATCTGCAAATTTATTAAGAAAAAAAAAATTTTTATTAAAGCATGTAAAAAGAACTTAAATGGACATTTTATAAATCGCTCTCTTATACGCGATCTTTAATTGGGGTATTTGTAGAAAATAGCATTATCGGTCAATGCATAACATAATGTTTCCGGACTTTTTCCTATAGGAGTTTTAGCATTGATATCTAACATACATAACTAGTGTACACTTTTATCTGTGACCGTTGAACGTGTTCAATTGTTATAGTCGCTTTATCGACAATTAGTGTCACTTTAAGTACGTCATGCTGTCAAACATATTACAGGTAGTAGTTTGTAAGTTTATACAAAAATTATCAGTGGTCATTATAACATTATTATTATTCAATACGCAACAACGTTTCCAAACTTATGCCTATAGGAGTTGTAATATACTTTTCAACTACCAACTAATAATTATTTTTAACTCAGATTAAAGTAACTGTCCACATATTTTCTAATATTACAGTTGATCTATCGACAGTTATGGGATAGTTTGAGGTAAATTAAAGACTATAAAATAGTTTCTGTAACGCATCATTTTTCGATTTTGACTTTTATACTCATGACGAAATTAACCTTAAGTTTTTAACCTGTATTGACTTAAGATTATTTTTAATATTTCATTAAGTTATATTTTAGCTTCGATGCAAAGCTGAAAAGGTATTAATTTTACTATTATGTACTTATTTATGTTTTTTGTCTAAAGTCTAATGAAAGTTTCAAAATTTTAATTCATAGATGCTACTATAAAGAACATTTTAAAAGGACTAAATGTATCTTTCCCCATTCTAAAAATAATTTAAATAACAATAAACATAATTTTCTAAATTTTTAAAAGACTAAGCCACTTCCTTAGTTTTACATATGGTTGTATTGCTCTGTATACTACATTTAAAGAAAATTTAGCATGCAAGTGTATAATTAAATTAACAGCGAGAGCATCCACAAAAGTCGAGACATTTAAAATAGTTATCTACATTAAAATTTATCACGAGCCGCATAATTTATTAGTGCCTATTTTCAATTTTAATTTATCTGTAAGTGAAACAGCCCTTACCGTAGGCAATGCAATAATTGGTAGTCGTTGATTAACCGATGACTACCAATTGATATTATTATTGATTGTAATAATATTGTTATCAAAAAATATAGTGTTTTTAAATTTTGTTATTCAAATGAAAAATAACAGATAATATCATACCAATTTTCAATTCACAGTTCAAGTATATTTTCAAAATGTATGAATATTTAAAGAATCTTCTAATTTCTATAGTATTTTTTTACTATTTGCTAAAATTTTGAACAACAGATATTTTATTTAAGTGGCAAGTTTAGAATTCAAGTTAAATAAGAATATTAATTTCTGATGGATTAGTTTTATAATTTACACTTTTTCATTACTTAGATTAGCAAGTTTAGTCAACATTTTTATAACTGTTGACAGTAAATAAGTTAGAAAATTTTGTTTTTAATGATTGTTTTAATTTTTACTTTTAATCAAATATCTTGATACATTAAGTTTGATTTTTTAACTTTTGTGTTTCATATTTGTTAAAGTACAACCTCATAAAGTTTTATTTTATTTCATAACAGTTCTCTAATTTATTAATTAAAAAATTGATATCATTTAATATTTGCTAACATTTTGTACATGACAATACATTGTTGAGTACTAATTAAGTATTTTATCTTTATCATGCATCTTTAATTAGTATAATTATTGGATAAAAGAAATTTAAAAGTCACAAATAAAAATGTATTTATAAATAAATAAAATAAATCTGTATTTATTTTGTTATATTATCCTACTATAAATACAAGAATATTAATTAATTCATAATTTTTCATTACGGAGATATAAATTAATAAATAACCAAGTATTTTCTTGTATTTTTGAATTAGTAAAATTTTTTCAAATACAATTAAATGATTTATAATTACAAACTTGAAATGGTATTTCATCAAATTGAAAGTAAAACAATAGAATTTTTCAATAAAATATTTTAATATGTAATATGAAAAGTGGACAATTTAATTACTCATTCAAAATTTAACTTAATCGATAATACAAAACATATTAGAAAATTATTAAATAAAGACAATTTTTAGTTTTTCATAAAATAAAACCAGTTCTGTTTTTAGAGAATTATCAAATTCCTTTAAATATTGATGATTCAGTTTTGTTGTATACATTTTTTTATTTCTTTAAATAACTCTATAGAAATAATGGATGTTAAAATCAATAAAATCCATAATAAATATGAAAAAAAATTCTATGATTTTAAATTGAATTGAAGTAAACTTTAGAATAGTAAATTCCAACTCCTAACATGTAAAATAAATTATTTAAATAAAGTGATTGGAGGTTGAACATTTATAAATGTAAATGAAAACAAAAATTTAATTGTAGAATAATTATAATTAAAAAGATATGTTGAAAACTTTATAATGGAATNATTATAATTAAAAAGATATGTTGAAAACTTTATTATGGAGTAGAACTATGAACATTGAATTATCAGTTAAAATTCCAAAATTAGTAATAAAAAATTTATTACAAGTGTTATAGAAGAAAAATTAATAAAAAAAAAAAAAAGTTGAATAGAATTTTTTTTATTACTAAAAAATTAAAAAAATTAAGCTTATCCATTTACCTATCTTAACAATATTTAACATTCAAAATTAATATGGTAATCATTATTTTTTTTATACCTTGCATATTTTAAAGTCCAACCATTTACTTCTCCTGTCTTGTCGTATTGTTTAAAAAAATGGCATTTTATTAATTAATTGTAGTATTTATAAGTACAACCAGTATTTATATAATTGGGTTACCTGTTGATTTAAAATGTCTGTATAATCAATAAAATATGACTCTCTGTTATTTATTCTGAATTGCATAAGTTAGATTTTTTTAAAATTATCTCTTAATTTTTTTAAATCAGAATTATTGTATAGAGAAATAGCGTGTAAAATAGATTCTTTAAGATCCCTTAAAATTTAAGTACAGATTTGA